CCTGTATGCACAGGTCAGCACGGCCAGTTCCCCCGTCTGTAACCCTGGTCTCCCTGCCCCAGTGCAGGTACGTACACGTCAGCACGGCCAGGGAGCGGTTCTTCGGCATGTTCTCCTCCCTCTGGGCCACGAGTGAGCTGTTGGGCTCCGCCTGGTAGGCACACAGCGCTTCCCACTCCTTCTCCAGCCGGTTCTTGTTCTTCAGGTGGTCCTCCATGTAGGACTGAAAGGGAAACACAGGGTCAGGAGCACGCATGGGTGGGGAGCCCGGGGTGGCAGATGCACAAAGGGCAGTAGAGGATTTCTCACGTGTTGCTTGGGCCGAGACCGCCAGGCGCACAGGCCCGGGCCGAGCCCCCCACGCGCACAGGCTCGGGCCGCACCCCCCACGCGCACAGGCCCGGGCCGCACCCCCACCACGCGCACAGGCCCGGGCCGCACCCCACCATGCACACAGGCCCGGGCCGCACCCCCACCACGCGCACAGGCCCGGGCCGAGCCCCCCACGCGCACAGGTTCGGGCCGCACCCCCCATGCGCACAGGCCCGGGCTGCGCCATGACATCACTGAATGGGGAGCTCTCCATGTCCTGTGACGTGTGCTCCAGTGCACGCTGCACATGATGCCATGCGACTGCTGAGTGAAATATGCGCATTGCTATGAAACACATTTTACCGACGTAAACGTAAACTCAGGTGTTAGGTGTGTGCTTGGGAATCCGTTTACTGCTGAGATGACAACAATAATCGTACACTTTATTCCCGGACCAGGGAGCTCAGACCAAGCTCTTGGGGGGGCCCATTTCTGCCTGCATAGAAGTCATGTTTCTTAGAACTGACACTTTTCTGAACCCACTGTGTGTGATGCATTCCAGAGGCTGGGCTGCTCTGATCTGTGCAAAACGTGAAACAGCTTCTGGCATGAAACACACAAACGGATGGAGGCAAATATTTTGACCCTCGGCTGCTCCAGTCTGCATTTTCCTGGGCTTGCTGGTGAGCGTGACCACGGGTACACAAGGAAACAAAGGCCTCCTGAAAACTCCCTTCCACAAAGACCCGGTGCTGCCAGCAGTCCACTCGCTTCTTATTGACCTGTTCGGTTGAGAACTGGCCCTGGTTTTAAGGAAGAGCATCTCAAAGGACCAAAGCCAGCTGCAGGATCGCACCACAGGAAGTGACGGCCTTCGCTGCTGTCATTCTGCGCATGGATTTGCAAGGTGCGTGTGTCATGCACACAGGTTCCAAGTGTGTCCACACAGGAAAATAAAACCTGCACGTGCACACACGGTCCTTTGGTGCAAAGTGGACACGCACCCCAATGTCAGCCCCGGGGTTCAGGCCCCTCTCACCTTCCACCTGCCCCTGGCACGCCCACATTCCACTCACTGACACCCCCTCCGACTGACCCGAGGAGCTGGGATGGTCCCTCCCTGCCCACTGCTGCCTGTTCCAGGAGACAGGTGGAAGAAGAGACAAGCAGGGAGGGATGGACACTGGGCGAGGAGGGAGTCTTGGGTCTTTGGGCCTCCAGTGAAGCTTTGATCACAGCTGACCTGAACCCGTGCAGCAAACACAAACCCCGCCATGCAGGCCGCGCTCACGCAGGACCGGGTGCATCAGGCATGTGTGCGGTTCATGTGACACCCCTGCGTCCGGGTGGGTGTGGTGGTGAGGGACAGTCGTTCAGCTCAGGGTGAGCTCTCTGAGGCTGCCTGTTGGGGGGTCCCAGGTGCTCACTGTTGCCCCCACCATGACCCTGCTTGAGCCAGCTGGGAACAGCAGAGGGGCTGCAGTGCCATGAGACGCTGCAGCAACTCCATGCGGCTGCTTGTCCCATGCCATGCCTTGAGCCTTGGGAGCACACCCGCGCCAGGAACAGAAGAACTGGGGCTGCTCTGAGCCAAAGCAAACGAGTTCGTCCACTCCCCTCAGCAGCCCGGACACCCAGGCAGCCTTGGGGTTCCCTTGTGTGTGGAAGAAGCACCCCACAGAGATGTCTCAAGTTATGAAATTAGGCGAAATTCAAATGGCTCAATCTAGAAAATGTGAACTACGTACTCTTTCTTTTGAGACAATCCTTTTGGAATATCAAATTCATATGTTCGCACCAAAGTTACCCTAACAGGAAAAGCAGTTTTGCATGACATAATACTTAAGTTTTGTGAAAATACTGACTTGCTCATCCAGCCCAAATCAGGTGTGTGAGGGGACCTGGGAGGTGTGTAGTCAGGTGAAAGTACAGTCTCAGTCTGTTTCTGTAGCTCCTTTTCTCAAGGTGGGCTTCGGTAGAGTTCTACAAATAAATAGGTATAAAATGGTTCCTGGCAAAGCGACTGGGTCCTAGCTTTTCTTGGGAAAAGGCTCTTTTCATGAAATCCATCACAAACAAATGGGCTTCCTTCTGTATAACATGATGGGTTCTAAAATGATGAACTCTGGCAGGTTTAATCCAACTGAAAATATTGTCTGCAAAAGAGGCACTGGATATGATCTTAACTCCTATAAACTGCAGCTGTTTAAATTTTCACATTTATCTTAACTAAGGGAAGCGAAATTATGCTCTACGTTCTCTTGAATTTCTAAATTTATGGCAAAAATATAAACGGAGACAGCTCTGCTCCACAAGCTCGCGTGGTAGGAGGGAGGAAGAGGTAGATATTGACATGGTATTTTTTCACCGAGCCTGAAGTTGTCTGCAGAGTACCTGACTGCATTAAAACTGAGGTACAGCTGCGTCTCTCAGCGTACGCCATGCCAGTGGGCGACGTTTGTCCCGTCCTGCTCATTTCAGTTTGATCTGTTCTGTTTTCTTCTACCAATATTTTTTATGAAACATCCTTTGTGATATTAAACTGATGAAATATCCCCCAACCACATCTTAGGAGTCTTTCTCCTCTTTCATGGCTTGTAGGTAAGACGCTTTTCATCTGTGAGTCTGTGGGGAAGCTAGGCCCTCATGGCAATGTTTTAAACACTGAAAGCAAAACCAAAAGGACCACGGGTGCCTAGTACAGATGCTCCCCCTCCTAGATGGGTTATGGCCCCAGAGTTCCTTAAAGTGCATTGAGTCCGGGCGCAGTGGCTCAAGTCTGTAATCCCAGCAATTTGGGAGGCTGAGGCAGGCGAATCACCTGAGGCCAGGAGTTCAAGACCAGCCTGGCCAACAGGGCGAAACCCTGCCTCTACTAAAAATACAAAAATTAGTTGGGTGTAGTGGCATGTGCCTGTAATCCCAGCTACTCTGGAGGCTGAAGCAGGAGAATCGCTTGAACTTGAGAAGTGGAGGTTGCAGTGAGCCGACATCGTGCCATTGCACTCCAGCCTGGGCAACAAGAGGTTTAAAAAAAAAAAAAAAAAAGCAAGTGCATTGAACACAGGTAACCGACTGGGCGGCACAGTGAGCCTGGCCTGCCTTACACGTGCTCACAATACCTGTAATCCTCTGCAGCCGGGCAAAACCATCTCACATGAAGCCTGCTGAGGATAAAGCATGGACCATCTTAGTGATTCACTGAACACTGAACTGAAAGTGAGTAACGGCACGGTTGCACGGGTGCTCCAAGTTCAGTTTCTATTTAATGCAAGTTCTTCTGCACCACCGTAAAGTCAAACCATTGTAAACGAATTGCTTCTGCACCACTTAGAGTAAAACCATCGTAAGTTGGGGGCCGTCCGTACTATGGGCGTCCGTGTCCTGCGTGTGAACTTGGACAGGTACAGCAACTCTAGTCAGGTGTCTCCTGGAATTATCAGGAAGTTAACATGTTATTTAAATGGTACTCATGCCCTTTCCCTGATAGTGGGCATTTAGCTACAGGTGCTTTAAAAACTGACATTTAAGCAAACAAATCAGTAAGAAAAAAAGCGAACAATCTTATCAAACAGCGGGCTAAGGGCACGAATAGAGAATTCTCAAAAGAAGACACATAAACGGCCAACAAACCTATGAAAAAATGCTCAACATCACTAATGATCAGGGAAATGTCAATCAAAACCGCAATGCGACACCCCCTCACTCCTGCAAGAATGGCTGCGATCAAACCTCAAACAGCAGATGCGGGTGTGCCTGCGGCCATCAGGGAACACTTCTACGCTGCTGCTGGGAACGTGAACAAGCGCGGCTGCTACAGAAAACAGCACGGAGACTCCTTAAAGAACGAAGCGCGGAGCTCCCGTGTGATCCAGCTACACCTGGCTACCTACGCGGAGGGAAAAAAGTCCTATTTGAAAAAGATATTTGCACATACGTGTTTATAGCAGCACAAGTCACGATTGCAAAATCATGGAAACAAACCCAAAGGCTTATCAATCAATGAGTGGATGAAGCAGCTGGTATATACGTATGATGGAATACTACACAGCCATTAAAAAGGAATGAATTAACAGCATGCGCAGTGACCTGGGTGAGAGTGGAGATTATTATTCTAAGTGAGGTAACTCAGAAATGGAAAACCAAACATCCTATGTTCTCACTGCTATGTGGGAGCGAAGCTATGAGGACGCAAAGGCATAAGAATGATCCAATGGACTTTGGGGACTTGGGGGGAAGGGGGTGCTGAGAGATATGGTGCTGTGTCTGCTGCTCGGGCGACGGTGCATCGGGATCTTACAGATCACCACTAAAGAACTTACTCATGTAACCCAATACCACCTGTACCCCAATAACCTATGGAAAAATAAAAAAGTAAAGAATTAGCTCAGAAAAAGGAAAACCTGACATTTAAATTCTTTTATTTCACAGAGGAGTGCACGTGTGAGAGTGTGGTGGAGGGAGGGCTTAGTTTTTAAGGCACTGCAACTTTTGTTACATAAGTATCACTCGTAGAAAGGATCAGAAAGTGAACATAAGCAGAATGGAAACAAAAGCAGGAGTCACCCCAGTGCCCACAGCAGCTGTAAGGCAGGCCGCCTTGCCCCCGGTGCCGAGTACCAGCGTTTCAGTTTTGACGTCGTCAGTGCCACAGAACAAATGCTGAGATGAGGCTCACATCTTGCAGATAAGGAAACCAAGGCCTAGAGCAGGCGAGCAACTGGCCCCCAGGCCCCAGCAGCCAGTGGCAGCACCGAAGCCCGGGCCTGGCCTCCAAGACGCCCTGTGGGCTCCCCGGCCCCGGCCATCTCCCTGTCTTCCTGCCACCACCTCCCCTTTCCAGTCGCCTTTTCACCAGCGACCAGGTTGGCGCTTCTGGTGCAAAATGTGACTGATTTCAAAAATTACCAA